CTGTCTGTGTGTGCGTGCAACTGGCTGTTCACTCGATGCGCTATTACACCATCAAGACCCACCACAGTCACGACATCACCATATTCCACCGCGTGCCTCCCCCCCCCCTTCCTCCTCCACGCCTGTCACCTGAGCTGCCGGACACAATGGTGCGGCCGTCAGGGCTGAGGGCGAGCGCCTTCACCATGTCCCCGTGTCCACTCAGCATGCCCACACGCGTCTTCGTGCGCGGATCAAACAGCCGTATCATCTGGCGGCATGTGTGTGTGTGTGTGTGTGTATGTGTGTGTGTGGTGTGTTGTGTGTGTTGTGTGTTGTGTGTGAATTGTATTGTGGAAATGCACGAGTGCAGTGACATTCACGTCGTCAAGCACATGTGCAATTGTGGTGTGCGTGCATGTGAATGGGCACCTTATCAGTGGATCCTGTGGCGATCACCGTGCCACCAGGGTTGATAGCACACGCGTAGATGCTCTGTGTACAAGCATGCGCGAACGCAGTGAGGACGTGAGTGATATGCTCACACTACCAACACCTACAACATGCAACGCCCACAACATGCAACGCGCACACGCACATTGGGCTCATGAGAATTCACACACACAGACACACACACGCGCGCCTACCTGTGGGTGGCTGCGCATGTCAATGTCTGACGAGACTTTTGTGCGTTCAATGTCCCAATACACGAGTCTGCGATCAAGGCCGCCCGTCACAAATTTGTGGGCGTGTTTTGAATAGGAGATGGCCCTGACAAAGTCGTTGTGCTGCAATTGCACGCACATGTACGAATGGTGGCAATGCATCGTGTGGTGAGTGGAGTTTGCAGCCTCAAACATATGGAGAACAACACATTCAACGCAGGCAAGTAGCCTCCCGAGAACGATGCACGCAACAACATGTGTCTCAGCACAACAAACACTCACTCATTCACACTCACACACGCACACACGCACACGCACACACGCACACACACACACATGGGCACCTTCTGCAGAGTGGCGACGAGGGAGCATCGCCTGTTGTCCCAGATCTTGACGTTGTGGTCAGAGGAAGCTGTGAGGACGTAGCCCAGGTCTTCACAAAGGGCAACGTCGTTGACCCAGTTGGCGTGCTGGTCGTAGCAGCGGCGGTATGTTGGCTTTGGTACGCCTGCCTTTTCCTTCCCATCACCACTTGGGCCAATGGTCCATTCCCGAACCACGCCATCCCGGCCAGCAGAGAACAGCACGGACTCGTCAGAGCTGACGGCCAGTGCATTCACTCCAAACCGATGGCCCGGCTCCTCTTCCCTTTCCCTGAAGTGCACAGAGAGAGAGAGAGAGAATGCGTGTGTTTGTGTGTGTTTGTGTGTGTGTGTGCATGTGTTTGTGTGTGTGCATGTGTTTGTGTGTGTTTGTGTGTGTGGTGTGGTGTGTGTGTTTGTGTGTGTGGTGTGGTGTGTGTGTGAGCGTGAAGCGTTGTTGGGATGAGAAAACACTGCTGGCTTGGCTTGTTGTGCTGCTCTGTCAGCTGGCGGTGTTGCTCGCTTCGCTGACGGTGTTGCTCGCACTGTTGTCGCTCGTTGAGCTGTTCACTTCACTGCAAAGCATCATCACACGTCAAGTTGACCAAGAACCTCACCGGATGATGTACGACAGCGTGGATGCCATGCTACCGTGAAAGCGAGTTCACGCAAAAGTGAACCCAGCTGGACTTCAAGAGGCACAGCTTCGCCCTTCCCTTGTTGTGCTGCCACTACAAGCACAGCACAGCACTGCCACTCGCCCAGCTTCTTCCTCCGCTGACACACACACACAAACACACACGCAAACACACAAACACACAAACACACAAACACACAAACACAAACACAGCCACACCACCAGCACACAGTCAGTCAGCCAGTTGTCCTGCTTGACTTGCTTGCTTGCTTGCTTGAAGCTGTGGTTGCTGAAAAATGCAGACGATGTTCATAATTTTCTGCAGTGCCTGTGGTGGACGTTGTTGCTGATTTGAGTGGAAGTGAGATGAGCGGAACGATGGACTGGTGCGGCGCAACACGTATTGTTGGCGCAAGACGAACGACAGCGCTGCTGCCGTTGTTGGTGCTGGTGCTGTTGCTGTTGGGGACAACACCGACGGTCACTTTCAGCGATGCTGCAGCGGCCTCGAAGCAGCAGCAGGACCCTGGCACGGTCTCGTTCGTGCTTGTTGGCGCCACCGGCAACCTGGTGAGTGGCATGAACTTTCATCATTGCGTGTGTCACATATCAGATCACGCTGCATTTTGATGAAGCGGATATAATGATGATGGTGGTTATGAAGCTGGTTGTGATGGTGTATGTGCGTGTGTGTTTGTGTGTGCTTGATACGGAGTGGATCTGTGTGCCACCTGTGCCACTGCGCAACTGGACTACTGCACTGCTGTGCATCTGTGACAAGCGTGACACTTCAATTCTGACATCCTGCGTGCACCTCGGGGTCGCACCTCTCTCGCACCACCCTGAAGGCGAAAAAGTACCTGTTCCAGTCGCTGTTTGATGTGTTCTTGGGTCAGGGAAGGGACGATCCGCAGCTGCGCGTGTACGCCGGTGCACGGCACACCAAAGACAAGAGCTGGCCCACAATCCAGCAAGCGCTGGCGGCCGTGAAATGCCGCGGCCGCCACGGTGACACATTGCTGACTACGGAGTGTGATCAGCTGCGCCACGCGTTTGCAGAGCACGTCCAATATATCCAGCTCAAGACAGAAGAACGTGCGTGCCCATGATAATACCTGCTTCTCCCTGCTCTCATTCTTGCTTGTGAGGTGGATAGTTGCGTTGGTGGGCGAGTGTGTGAGTAGAAGAGGATGATTGTGTCAGTGAACGTGGGTGACTGTGTGAGTGAGTGTGTCATTGAATGAGTCACAGCTGCTTCTCATGTGCTACTGTCCTGTTGCTAACTGGGTCCCTTGGATTCGTGCAGATTATGCGGCCTTGCACGACGCCATTGCCAAGCATGGTAAGCACAAACAGCGTGCAGTTTTGCTGTCCCTGTAATCTGCTGTGCGTTCGCTGTTTCCTTCCCAAGCCCCTCATGCAACGCGCGCGTTTGTGTTGTTGACGCCCTGTGTGTATCATTGACATGCACACGTGTGCTTCAGGCGAGACCGAGGCTGCGCGCGTGTTCTACTTATCTGTGCCGCCGTCCGCGTATCCGACCATCGCACACTGGATCGACCAGTCTTGCAGGTCCGCACACCGCCATGCGTTCTATGTCTTCCTCTATCGGTGACTTTGTCCCTCGTCTGTCTGTGTTTCTCCTTTTCTCGCTGGCTTACTGACACCGACTCCATGTGTGCAAGCTTGTCACGCACACTCAGCACACCAGCACCAACGCGCCATCCCGCGCGCGTCCGCTCATCATGCTGTCGTCGTTGTGCAACCCCCCCCCCCCCTTCGCCCCGCCACTCCAGGCCCGGCCACGCCACGCCACTGCGCGTAGCGCTCGAAAAACCGTTTGGGCGCGACTTCCACTCAGCGCGGGAACTGCAAGCCGCCCTCCGCACATCCCTCAAGCCGGCGGAGACGATGCTTGTCGACCACTATCTTGGCAAGCGCGGCGTGCTGCAGATTGCTGAATTCGCCCGCGCAAATCGCCGCTTTGTCAGCACATATCTGCGGCGCAAGCACGTGGAGCGAGTCGAGATTGTCATGAAGGAAACAGAGGACTGCAGGTATATGTGTGTCTTGTTTGTCTGCCTATATGTGTGTCTTGTTTGTCTGCCTATTTGTCTGTCTTGTTTGCTTGTCTGTCTGTCCGTGTGTGTGTGTGTGTGTGTGTGTGTGTGTGTGTGTGTGTGTGTGTGTCTGTCTGTCTGTCTGTCTGTCTGTCTGTCTGTCTGTTTGCTTGTTTGCTTGTTTGTCCTGTTTGTCTGTCTTGTTTGTCTGTTTGTCTGTTTGCCAATCTCCCTATCTGTCTGACTGCCTGCCTGCCTGTGTCCCCATCCCTGCTCGTGTCACGTGTACCGGCCATGACCCCCTCCCCCTTCTTCCCGAACGCATCGATCTTACGCTGCGTGTTGCGCCCTGTGCACAGCGGACGCACGCGGTTCTTTGACGCGTACGGGATTGTTCGCGACGTGATGCAGAACCACCTGACAGAGGTGCTGCTGCTGCTCGCCATGGATCCTGGTGTCCCCGTCTCATTCTCATCCAAGATGCCCATCCTCTCCGCGGTACGAAGGAAGTCGTGGTGGTCGTGGTGGTGGTGAATGTGGAGGTAAGGGACTTTTGGCCCCATTCAATATTCACAAACACACACACACACACACATGTACTCACGCATTCCACAATCATCCCCTTTTTGTTCTTCATCGGCAATGCAGATGCTGCCGGCTGCTCCGTCGCGCGCCGTGCTCGGCCAATACGCGGGGTACCGTACACACGTCGCACACGACCACGGTCTGGGAGCTGTTGTTGTTGTTGTTCTTATTGCTGTTGAAATGGTGGCAACCACACACAACACACACACACAACACACACACACACACGTCTCTAAAGCTGACCACTTGCACGCTTGCATCACGTGGGTGGGTGGTTGCGTCATTGCAGGGGAGGAGGTTGACACAAAGACGCCAACGTTCGCTGGCGTCACACTTTTCATCGACACGCCGCGATGGGAGGTGCGATTGTGGTGATGGTAGCCATTTGAAAGGGGGGGGTGTAAATGTGGGGCTGCCTCAGATCAGGCGATATTTGAATGCCATGCTCACCTGTCATACACACACGTCATGCACACGCACACACGCACACGCACCACGCACATGCCATACACTAGGGCACGCCGTTTGTGATGGTTGCTGGGAAGCGGTTGAGTGAACGCGTTGCATTTGCGCGTGTGCGGTTCAAGCAAGACACCAGCATGGTGTGCACGACAGAGGGGTGTGGCGTGCACCAGATTGAGTATCACATCCAGGGCCACAACAAGCCGCCATGCATCACGTTCTGGGGCAACTTTCCTGAACTGGTGGTCCCGGATGGATGGTCCGTTGAGCACAACACAACCGCACACATTGCCCTCTGCCCAGGTCGGCTGCCTTTGACTCTGTGTGTGTGTGTGTGTGTGGTGGTGTGTGTGTGTGTGCGTGTGTGTGTGTGTGTGTGTGTGTGTGCCTGTGTGTCTGTGTGTGTGTGTGCCTGTGTGGGTGTGTGTGTGTGTGTACCTGTGTGTGTGTGTGTGTGTGCCTCTGTGTCTGTGTCTGTGTCTGTCTGTCTGTGTGTGTGTGCCTGCATTTCTGCATTTCCGCGTGCTCTTCCTCGTGTGTTCCTCACCCACGCCATCCCCCATCCCCGCACACACACTCTCTCTCTATCATTGCGCGTGGATATTGCTGCCGGTTCAGGCGAGGACGTCGGATCGCTGTCGCCGTACACGGAACTCATGCACGCCCTCGTTGTCGGGGACAGGTCAGCAGTCACGCACGCACACTCACTCACTCGCATGCACACACGCACGATCTACTCTGTGAAGCCTATGTAGGGTCGTTAGTTGCCCGTGTGTGTGCCTGTGTGTCTGTGTGTGTGTGTGCCTGTGTGGTGTGTGTGTGTGTGTACCTGTGTGTGTGTGTGTGTGTGCCTCTGTGTCTGTGTCTGTGTCTGTCTGTCTGTGTGTGTGTGCCTGCATTTCTGCATTTCCGCGTGCTCTTCCTCGTGTGTTCCTCACCCACGCCATCCCCCATCCCCGCACACACACTCTCTCTCTATCATTGCGCGTGGATATTGCTGCCGGTTCAGGCGAGGACGTCGGATCGCTGTCGCCGTACACGGAACTCATGCACGCCCTCGTTGTCGGGGACAGGTCAGCAGTCACGCACGCACACTCACTCACTCGCATGCACACACGCACGCACACTCACTCACTCGCATGCACACACGCACGAACGCTCACTCGCTCGCTCACTCATTCACATGCACAAACCCAGGACCAAGTTTGTGGAGTTGGACACGCTTCTGCGGTCGTGGCAGATATGGACACCGCTCGCCAACACGCCGACAACACCAAGGTGCCGTGGTGGTAGGGAGACCCAGTTTATGGTGCAGGACGGAGAGAGAGGGGGGGATGCAGCAGGCGTATGTGTGCAAGTATCAACGGGGGTGCAATGTGGTGCCACGCATGCAATCCAATGCATGCGATGTGCACACGCTCGCTCACTTCCGAGTGCACCACGATGCACAGGGTGTACGAGCGCGAGGAGGATGTGCTGTTTGCGCTGCAGCCCAACGGGGCACTGGCATTTGGTGACGGCACAACGCCGCTGTCAATGATGACGACGACGCGACGCGGCCACACGCTCGCGGGCGCTGGGGGCGCAGGTGGCACGGGTGGGGAGGATGCGGATAGCAAGGGCAAATATGGCACAGCAAATAATGACAGGCAAGAGCAAGCAGAGCGAACGCAACAGCAAGAGCAGCCTGAGCGCGGGCGTCATGCGGACGAGCTGTAAGCAAAGGGCCAGTGGCGTGCCCGCTCCTTATCCTCAGACTTGCGGGGCATGACGTTATCAAGCTCAATCTTCTCAATGAGGCCCGTGTTCTTCACGTGGAACACCGTGTAGGCGTCCAGCCAGATCTGCCGCAGACGGTTACGACGAGTGCCGACCGTGCAATAGATGAAGGAGATGGGGAGATGACGGATGAGCAAGACGGTGTGTGGTGTGTGGGATGTGAGTTGGTGTGAGTTAAGTCTTGTTGCTGCTGCCTGGTTGCATGTGTTTTTCAGTCAGTGGTCTGGGATACGAGAGGCTTGCTGCTTGCGTGGATCAGTTAGGGACCAATACACAACCTCAAACGAAGTGTGTACGTGCGTGTGTGCGCGCGTGGGTGTGGGTGTGGGATGTGGGGAAGCATCGGACGCGTGGTGGCACACGATAGGAGAAGCAGCGACTTCTCTGCTCGGAGTAACATGACATCGTCTCAGCCCAGGTACAAGACGTTGAATCAACACTGGCACTTCTTTGGGTCACTGCAGACCACCCAGTCGTAATGCACGCATGCACACCAACCTGTCCAGTGAGAGAGGTGCGGGAGAAGCCAACGATGCGCCAGCGCGCATGCAGCTGCTGCGAGGCGCGCCGGTCCAGCCACAGCACCTGGCAGCTTGGCTGGCTCACCAGCAGTGGCAGCGATTGTCGGAACGCCATCAGGGACAGCTGCAAAGGCGTCAGCCAGTCACAAAACACGAGGCATGGTCGTGAGCTACTCGCGCGACAACACGCAAGCACGCACTTCGCTCCTCGGCCCGCCAGTCCGTCAGCTGACCGGTTCTCACACACAAGGTTGCAACCACACACACACACACACACACACACACACACACACACACACACACACACACACACACACACACACACCACCACACACACACACACACACACACACACACACACACACACACACACACACACACACACACACACACACACACACACACACGCACGCACGCACGCACCCTGTACAGACCTGTAGCGTTCGCTTCCCTTGCAGGGTGATGCCGTGGATGTTGTCTCTGAAGATGACATTTGGGTGGCACAGCGCCAGCGTGTCTGTCGGTGTTGCTTGGTGAATGACGGGCAGCTCTCTTCTCAAGTGGTACTTGACCAAGTTGAGTCGCTCATCGTTCCCTTGCCCGTGGTCGCCAGACATGCCCATGTGTGAAGGCTTTGGCGGCACAGCCTGCTGCACCAACCGCAAGCCCCACCACCTCGCAAGCGACGTCCGCATCGTCCTCTGTGTTGTTTGCAGTCGCAGTTCAAACAACAAACAACAACGAACAAACGAATGAACGAATGGCAGCAGCAAAAACAGAAGCGGCGCAACTGGCAAAGATGGAAGGTGTTGTTCAGTGGTTGTGTGTGTGTGTGTGTGTGTGTGTATCGACTTCGCTGGCTCCCTTCCTCTCTCTCTCCCTGCCTGGACCATGTGCACTCACCTTGTCATGCTGCACCTCCCCTTCCAACACCCACTGCGAGCAGCAGGAGGAGAGGCGCCCCTTCCACCAGGGTGGAAGCAGCAAGTGACGCCGGATGGACAGGTGTACTACTTCAACACCAAGACACGCGAAAGCTCGTACACGCGCCCAACAGCCCAGCCGCATCAAGCCCCCATAGCAACGCCTACCGCTCCAGCTCCTGCTGCTGCTGCATCCAAGGTCAGTTCGCTTCACACGCACGCAGCACATGCGTTGGATGCACTGTTGCGCTTGGCCCTGTTGTACTTCCTCTTGCTGCTGTACTTGTCCCATCTGGGACATTCCTGCCGTCAACGCACCCACATGCACACACACACACACACACTCAACCCTCTCTCACTCACTCATTCACTCACTCACTCACTCACTCACACACACACACACACACACACACACACTCTCTCTCTCTCTCTCTCTCTCTCTCTCTCTCTCTCTCTCTCTCTCTCATACACACACTCTCTCGCTCTCTCACACACTCACTCACTCACTCACACTCACTCACACACTCACACACACACACATACACTCACACACGCGCGCACGTCACCGCCATGCATGCTGTTCGTCCCCCCCCCAGAAAGCGGTTGCTCGGTGAGTTGGTTGTTGCACCCACTGCGCATGCCATGTCCCAGCGCCCATCCCTCCCCCTCCCCGCTTTCTCCGTGAACGTCTTGTCTCTACATGTCTGCTGCTGTCACGCTACACAGGTGCTTGCTTGCAATGCTGGGTCCTCGCTGCCGCTAACGCACAAACAAACATACACACACATGCACACACGTGGCAGCAAGCGCATTGGCAAGACAAAGTGGTTCGTCGTTCGCGCCAGCGATAACTCCCTGTTCTACTTCAACAAGGTCGGTCACTGATGTAAACACATATGAATCACTGAACACCGCACAGTGTTTCCCTGTCATTGTCTGCGGCAATCACACGCTTCGCTGCTCTGCCGCTCCACTGACAATGCACTTGACCGCGTACAGGCGACGAAGAAGTCTGCGTACACACTTCCAGATGAGCTGAAGGCAGAGGCCATTCCACAGCTCGAGGAGGTATACAGGGTGTCCTGTTTGAGTTTGAATCCAGGGGTGGAGGGATGGAGTATCAGGGGCTGGTGCTTGTCGCCGCCTCTTATCTTGGCTCACACGCACGTGTACGTACGACGCCCACTTTCCCCGCGCGCGCGCGCACTCACGAATATTACCCTCCCTCCCACGAAACACATGCGCTCACCCCCCCCCCCCCTTCCAAAGGTTGCTGTTGCAGAGGAGCCTGCAGCAAAGAAAGCAAAGCAGGACGATGGGCACACGGGACTGCTGCCAAACCCAGCGCTCCTGCCCACTGGGCCGAGCACTCAACAACCGCACCAGCTCGCAACACCACAACAGGCACCCCCGCCACCACCACCACCGCACATGATGCAGCACATGCCACCACGCCCACCCATGCCTCCACCACCACACCTCCAACAGCAGCAGCAAATGCAGCAGCAAATGCAGCAGCACATGCAGCAGCAGCCAAACCTGCCACCCCGGCCCCCAATGCCACCAGCACCACCACCACCACCGCATGGCGCCCCGCCGCCGTATCAGCCAGGATGGCGACCAGGTGCACCGCCACACGCACGACCACCACCACCACCGCACCATCATCACCACCACCACCATCACCGTCCGCCTCCTCCACATCACCGCCCACCGTACCCGCCGCACCCGCACGCGTTCCGGCCACCACCCCACCTTCACTACCACCACCACCACCACCAGCAGCAGCAGCCTGCGAAGCCAAAGGGCCCTTCCCTTGCTGACAAACAGAATGAGGTGCTGTTGGCGGAAGAGCGAGGCTGTCGCATGTCACTGAGCAAGTGGTGTGTGTGTGTGTGTGTGTGTGTGTGTGTGTGTGTGTGTGTGTGTGTGTGTGTGTGTGTGCGTGCGTGTGTCTGTAATGTAACTAACCCTCCTTTCCGTTTTGCGTTTCGCTTCTTCGTTTCATGGCGGCTGTGTGCAGTTCAAGAAGGTGCTGGCGGCGCGAAACGTGTCTGCGTTTGCGCTGTGGGACACAATCCGCATGGAGGTTGAGGATGAGCCATCCTTCAAGGCGCTCACAGAGAAGCAGGCAAAGTCCGCCTTCAACAAGTCAGTGCAGTGCACACACGTGTCAGTGCCGTGGGATGCGGCTGTTCTTGCTCTCGTTCTTGTACTTTTGCCCGTTCTTGTTCTTGACACATGTTGGCAGCGACATCACAGCATGGCCTGACACCAGCCCCTCATCTTGCTCTACTGCGCGTGCGCTCGCAGGTATCAAAGCAGCAAGTTGGAGGAGGAGAAGTCAGCCGTCATGTCGAAAGCAGCAGAGGTAACTGGCGCTGCCACACGCACACACACACACACACGCACGCACACACGCACACAGAGCAATGAGAAGTCCACAGCCATCAACTCCACCCTTGGGTTGCGTCGCGTTGGCTTGCGTTACGCTGCTTGGTGCATTCTCACGTGGCTTTGCTGTGTTTCTTGCCTGCATGCATGCGCAGACGAAGAAAGCGTTCCGAGAGCTGATGGAGGAAGCAAACGTGGACGAGAAGACAACGTGGATCTCGGTACGTTGATAGAGCTTGCGTTTGGTTGCTCGTTCTTATTTTCGTGTGTCTTGCCTGGTGTCACATACAACACACCTCACACATGTATTTTTGTGTCTGTGTCTGTGTCTGTCTGTCTGTGTCTGCATCTGTGTGTCTGTCTGTCTGTCTGTAACTGCTATCGCCTCCTCCCAGTTCAAGACCAGGTGGCAAGAAGATTCACGCTTCAAGGTACAGTAAGACAGTGGCTGTGCTCTCCGCATCGTCACGTGTGCACATTGCCTGTGATCATTCGAGGCCGCCATCGTATCAACCATGATTTGTACCCACATGCTCATGTGTGACTCATATGCACACGCACACGCACGCACATGCACGCACTCGTGCCTGCAGGCAATTGGCAAGGAGAAGGAACGGGAGGCTGCGTTTCGGGAATACGTGGAGGAATTGCATGAGAAGGACCGAACAAAGGCAAAACAGCGCGAAACCAACAAGTACGTGTGGCTACACTGCAGCTGTGGCTTGCCGCTGTCTGATGCGGGAATGCCAACAACACTGCCACCAACGATTGTATGTGACACCGTGTCCTCACTGTTCATCACACCATCCATTACTGGCACGCTCCTGCAGGAAGGCGGCCTTTGCTGCATACGAGGATCTTCGCGTCACCCGCCGCGATTCGTTCCGCGCCCTCAGGGTATGCAACTCTGTGAGATGATGATGATGATGATGATGGGTGTGTGGGTGGGTTTGGTGACAGCCTGTCTCCTTTTCCATGCTTCCATTTTGACACTGGTCTCACTCATTGCCTGTCACCTGCACTGCCGCCATTCCTTTGGCGTGCTCAGCGGCGAATCCGTGAAGACGAGCGTTGCAAAGACATTGACGAGGCAGACTTGGAGGCATGGTTCTGGTGCGCATCCCTTTGCCACAATGCTGCATATGTGCCCATTCTACTTACTTGTCTGCCAAGCTCCGTGTCATTGCACTTGCCATGCTCATGCATACATGTGTGTGTGTGCGTGTGTGTGTGTGTGTGTGTGTGTGCGTGTGTGTGTGTGTGTGTGTGTGTGTGTGTGTGTGTGTGTGTGTGCAGGGAGTATCAGGACAAGCTCGGCAGCGGCGGAGTTTCCGCAATTCAGTACGACTGCCATCAGCTAGACAACCCCTTTGCTGTCGCTCGAGTTCAACCTCTTTTCTTCGGAGCCTGCCCCCACTGTCAGATCTCACCATTTCGTTTTTCTTTCGTTCTTGCCTGCAGGCAACGCGAGGCGGCTGTTGCAGAGGAACGGCGCCGGCTTGAGCGCGACATGCAGCGCGCATCCCGCAACTTGCAGCGGTCAGTGAAGTGGCTACCTCGTTGTTTGTTTGTTGTTGTTGCTGTTGTTGTTGTTGTTGTTGTTGTTGTTGTTGTTGTTGTTGTTGTTGTTGTTGTTGTTGTTGTTGTTGTTGTTGTTGTTGTTGTCGTCGTCGTCGTTGTTGTCGTCGTCGTCGTTGTTGTTGTTCTTGTTGTTCTTGTTGTTCTTGCTGCTGCCTGTGGTCCTCTCTTTCTGTCGTTGTGGCTCCTTCGTTCCAACGCACTCACACTTGCTTGACTGGCTTGTGCGTGTTGCCGTGTTGCCCACAGTGGTGAAGGACGTGATACGTTCAACACGCTCCTGGCGAACAAGATCCGCTCACATCAGGTACCGAACACATCACAACCCCAAACATGCAGACCTGCCCATACACACACACACACCTTTTTCTGCATTCAACATGCGAGCTCGCCGCGCTCGTGTCCACCTCACCCCCACCGCACCCTTTCTGCCTTGTTCCGGCATTGCTTGCTTGCGTCAGGTGTCGTGGGAGGATGCTGTACCGGCGATGGAGGGCGACCCACTGTGGTCAATGGTACACCTCTCAGACGCCGACAAGCAGCAGCTGTTCCACGAGCACCAGGCTGCGCTGCGTGCACGTGCGCGGGCCGGGTATGCTGCTGCGCTGGACACGGTGCTTGAGAAGTATGGAGACGACATCACGTTTGAAGACGTGCCCCCCATCATCGAGGGCGATCCGCGCGTCACCAACTTCTCCTCCTCGCACGAGTGCGTTGCCGTGTGTGCCTGTATGTCTGTGTGTGTGTGTGTGTATGTGTGTGCCTCTGTGTCTATGTCTCTGTGCCTCTGTCTGTGCCTGTGTCTTTGTGTCTGCGTCGCTGTGCCTCTGTGTCTGTGTGTGTGTGTGTGTATGACTCGCGCGCGTCTCCCCTTCACTCTGACCCTCAACTCTAACCTTCCCCTTCTTCTCAACTTGAGCAGGGAGCTTGAGACCGAATTCAACAGGTACGTCATCGAGCGGAAGGAGCGGCTCGTTGAGGACTTCAAGGCCCTTCTCAGGGAAACAAAGTGAGCTTCTGCACGGTGACCCCTGTTGTGACAGCTACCCGCTCGCCATGAGTGCCGTGGGTGATGTTGCGGGCGTGTTGCTGCGGACAGTAATACGCCTTCAACTGCGAGACAACGGTGTCCGTCACGGTGAATGCACACGCGTGCGTGCTCACGGCGTGCTTCGCCTTGTCTGCTTGCGGCTGATGTGAATAATGTACAGGTGCATCACGCACAAGTCCTGGGAGAAGGTAAAGGAGCACATGGTGGACAGCCCCCACATGAAGGAGATCCAAGACTACCTCGAGGTACCGCTACTTGTGCCTGTCTGTACATCTGCCTGCACCTTTGTTTGCATGGCTGGGTAGGGGTTGTTTCAAGCGTGTGCGCTGACCGCATACATCACTGCGCCACTGCCTTGCCCTGCCAGCACGACAAGCGGTATCACCTGCTGGAGAACGACCCAACCACGCGCGCCCAGCTCCTCGTCGACTACATGCAAGAGCTGCAGGTACCGTTGTTTTGGTGTTGGGTGGAGTGGTACCTGGCTCAATACCGTGCATTGCATCGCTGGCCGTGGCTTGAGTACTCACTCATAAACACATACACACTCACTCACTCACTCATTCACTCGCACACATACACACACACACACTCACTCACTCACTCACTCACTCACTCACTCACTCACTCACTCACTCACTCACTCACTCACTCACTCACTCACTCATTCATTCACTCACTCACTCACTCACTCACTCACTCACTCACTCACTCACTCACTCACTCACCCACTCACTCACTCACTCACTCACTCACTCACTCACTCACTCACTCACTCACTCACTCACTCACTCACTCACTCACTCACTCACTCACTCACTCACTCACTCACTCACTCACTCACTCACTCACTCACTCACTCACTCACTCACTCACTCACAGCGTCGGGGAACGCCGCCGCCGCCAACGGCGAGCAACCCGAACGAGGAGCAGAGGCCAGACGTGACTGCGCTGTAGCCAAGATCCACTGTGATGATGTGCATGACATGTGTGCGTGGCATGTGTGTGGTGTGGCATGGTGTGAGCAAACAAACTCTTCAAGAACAAAGCCAATCACCACCCATCCTTCGAAGTTGCCAATACACCACCAACAAGAAGTCGAAGATAACGACAACGGCTGGATGGCGACGCAGAGCGTGTTTGGCTGGGGCCCGCTTGTGGCGTTGGGGCTGATCGTGCTGATTGCCTATGCCACGACGTACTGCCACCAAGTTGGCAAGGCCACGCTCTGGAGCGATGCCTTGTTTGTGACGTGGGTGACCACGGTGGTCGTCGTGCTGTACAGCTTCTTCAAGTCCATCTACGTCGGGCCAGGCTTTGTGCCACTGAAATGGGTATTGTGTGTGTGTGCGTGTGTGTCTGTGTGTCTGTGTGTCTGTGCGTGTGTGTGTCTGTGCGTGTGTGTGTGTCTGTGTCTGTGTGTCTGTGTGTCTGTGCGTGTGTGTGTCTGTGCGTGTGTGTGTGTCTGTGTCTGTGTCTGTGTCTGTGTCTGTGTCTGTGTGTCTGTGTGTCTGTGCGTGTGTGTGTCTGTGTCTGTGTCTGTGTGTCCTCCCCCCCCCCCGCCTGTGTGCTGCATGCCAACGTGTCGACGTGTCTACACCTCACCAATCCAACCACCGCGCCCACTGCACCTCACCATACACCCACCTCACTCAACGCTTCCTTGTCCCTCCCCTGCACATCGTGCGTCGCGCACTGCAGAGACCGAAAGATGAGGCCAATATCGAACGGCTGACATACTGCCACATCTGCGAGGGTTACAAGGCACCGCGATCGCACCACTGCCGACAATGGTGCGTCTCCAACCATGCACGCACATGTGCATGTGGCTCGACTTGCACGCTGCTGCCAGTTTGACATTTGCCACGTCTGCAACGGATCACTCACCCATGCGTTCGATGACCCACGGTGCTTCTATCAGTGGCCGCTGCGTGAAGGTCCTCGACCACCACTGCCCGGTACGATGTCCAACTCGTACTCTTCTTCGTGTTCTTCACTGCCACT